CAAATCCTGATTTTTCACGGTTTTGCATCAGCATTTTGCCTGTTGCAGATGACATTTCTTCCAATTTAACATTTTAAAACTACAGACAAGATGTTGTCCTTATAGATGCAAATACGACCTTATATGAGACGTTCTGCCAAAGTGCTACGCACAATACAGTATGTGGTTTGGCGCTGGTGCAGTATGTTCTTCCGACGTGCTACCTACACAGGTGGAAATTACGCAGGCGTGACTTACTTGGAGACCAGCCCCCCTCCTGGTGGGAGCCCCTCGATTTCCTCGTAGCACAGAACGTGCATGATGTAGGCCAGGTCCACCTCACCAGGCTCACTCGTGTTCACTATCTCTGCAGGACAAAAAAACATTCAGACATTAGTCTTATTACAGCTGGATCTTTGAAACCTTTATTGAGGATTCCACACTGCAGAGTAAAGTGGCTACGTTACAATCAGTGCATTTTACATAGTGGGTCATTCTTAAGACATAATAGTAGGGTTAAAACTATCACTGCTGGAAACACAACACTCAGAAATTACATATGGGTATGGACAGCCAGTGATGTACATTTACTTATTACCTCCGGGGAAGGAGATATCCTTCCGCGAGGAGGTTTTACTATGGTTCGAAACATTTCTGTCAGCAGCTGTTTCTCGCGATCGGCTGGACGGATTTGTCTGTTGTTCGGTATACGTATTGCTATTGGGCTGCAGATGATGCAGAACGTTTTTGTTTAATTGCATATGTGTTTATGGGCGTCGAAATAAAAGGTTTTTAAGTGCTCCGGACACCCCCGCCATGCTGAAAATGGTAATTACCATGTTGTTAAGGAATGGGGCGGTTGCAGTTTTGGGTCTTAGCATTCAAAAGGGGTCAAACAGAGGGGTGTCTGGTTCCGATAAAAATTTTGGGTGACGGCGCAGCAATGACGGCGTGGGATGACGTCAGGGGTAATGGCGCGGGTGACGGTGCAGGCTGTCAGACTATGAGACACGTTAATCAACAGTCCATACCGAGCCATCAAACATATTACGCACATAACTTTCATACTACACACAAACAAATAACCTAAACCAATAGAACACAAAAAAACCCGGAGGTTTGAAATCTACGATTTCCCTTGTTGAGAATTAAACTGTTCTCTGAGCAATTCAGTAGAAAATTCCGGAGAGTTCATTTCCTTGAGTTGGAGAACAGTTGAACTTTGATTCTCATTATGTATTTTACTAACTCAGATGAACTTTCATTCGTGTACATTTATGCAAAAACGAAAAAAAATGTGTTTTAATCATACATTTGTTACATCACTAACTTTAAATTATCAAGTTAGCAATAGCATTTTAGACAGTTCTTGAGACTGTAAAGTTTGTACCAAGGTTTTGCTGGGATTAACCTTAATATCTTACTTTATCTTTAGCTTGAGTAAAATTTCCTCGTGTACACTGTAATACTACATTGATCTTTCACCTATAACTTACAAGTTGGTAGTGAAAAGGGAAACTTGAATAACAGTCTGTGTGCACTTCTTGGCTTGGAATGTTGTGCTGACCTTGAACTTAAAGCTGACCCAGGTTGTCAACAACATGAAACCTAACATTGTAACAAGTGCAATCATGCATCACAAACAGAAACAGTCCTGAAACCCAACCTGTGCACTCCATATGCCATTTGCAGTACAGTGTACAAACTACTTTTTTGACCCAGGTTGCCCAGTGGGCAACCTACCGCAAAAATTAGGTTGCCCATCAGAATTTTAGGTTGCCCCACCTGTAAGTTACTACTTTCCTCAAAATCAAGTAATGTTACATACATACGCCTTTAACAATATTTCTAACAGCCTTTAGATACTAGTAATAGCCATTAATACCTAAAATTAAAAAGCATCTGCTGGTTACAGTGGTGCAAGCCAAATGAGCATGATTTTTTTTGGGGGGGAGGGGGGCATTCTTAAAATTCAGGTAGCACACTGGGCTACCTAGGTTCAAAAATAGGTTGCCCCAAGTAAAATTTGGTTGCCCAGTTGGTATTTTGCACACTGCAGTATGAGCTACATTTTCCACTGAAACCATCAAGACCTTCTCTATTGGTAATGATGTCACTCTTTGTCTTTACCATATTTTGCCATCTACTTCATTACGAGTAAGTCTACACACTAAAATTTTATGTCTACCAACCAGACAAAACACAGCCAAACAAAACACAGCCAGAACAAAAAGACTTGGCGGCAGACTCAGAACTCTTTCCCACAACCATCAGTCCATCAGACTGTATAATCAGAATGGTACTTGTTATGTCTGGGATGTACAGTTCATATTAAAAATATGTATATATATATTTATGTATATATTTATGCAACGTTATGTAATGTTATGTATTTATGTTTTACTGTAAATATCAATGTCATTCAAGTAACATCATATGTATTTCTGCAAGGTTGATATAAATGATAAAGAATTGAATATACCATAGCCAACAAATACCACTCTGTTATCCTACGTGTAGCTGTGTTATGGTCAGACATAACCATGGCAGTGACCTTTACGAGAGACAATCCAGGAAGGTCGCTCCTTTATTACGTGACGTAATCTGCGCCACACCTAACGATCGCCCACGCTGGGTAGCTGACAGCACGACCTATTACAGCATAGGTCATACATGTAGTCAAGACTTAGGTCTGTTGCTTTGCTTCGTTGCAGATTAGGCCATGTTGATTTGATTATATGGATGACATCCGCTAGCGCATGAATTTTCGGCCGTTTCCAAAAAAAAAAAAGTTTCCAACCACACTGTAAATTGTACAAACCAGTTGCAAAATGAGCAAATATATACCGAAAGTTGCAAAAAAATATTTGAAAACGATTCCAATAGCCAAAATCAAACAAAAAACTAAAATGCAAAGAAATGAATTTAAAGAGTAGATTATTCGCCATACCATACTCTGTGTCATTTGTTCGACCTTCATAACAACGTAGATTTCATGAAAGCAACTTTTTTTTGCAAAACTTTTTTTTTATTCGCGCGCTCGCATCAGTTTTGGGGTTTCCCGAGAGGATGTCATCCATATAATCAAATCAACATGGCCCAACTAGACCTAGACGATTTCGAGACTTAGACAACTAGACTTAGCCAACAACAGTATTACACAAATTTGACAACATTACGAAAATGTTTGTTTTCGTTTTATGCTGAATTCCAGGTAGCTACCAAAATAAATAGAAATTATTTAT